CTATTTATCTGTCTGTCTGTCTGTCTGTCTGTCTGTCTGTCTGTCTGTCTGTCTGTCTGTCTGTCTGTCTGTCTTTCTGTCTGTCTGTCTGTCTGTTCTGATAGATAACTATATAGAAAACGATCTTGCTCTCTGTCTATTTCGTGTGTGGGTTTTTGGTCCGCCTCTTTAGCATCTTCGTGGATACTAGAATTGGCTATTGCCCGCGGGTGGTTGAAGGGCGCCAGTGGTAGGCCTTCCTTCTATTCTTTCCTTTTGTTGTTTCTGTATGTCTGCCTTACGTTTCCCCAGCGTAATTGTCTCTGTGTGTTTGTCTTTACTCTATCGTGAACAAATCCCAGTGGTCCTGTTGTGTCAAGAGACGTCCTGGTGAGAGATGTGTCATCGTGCGCTCCGAGCCATCACTTGTTTCTATTGTGTTTAAGTGCAAGTTCCTCACATACTCCACCACCCTTTCTCTCTTTTACACAACTCTTAGCTGTCTTAATCTTGACCCTCCTCTCCCCCCCCCCCCAAACCGTGTCTCCTTGTCTGCTCCAACATGATCTCGTTCTTTATGTGCCGGGTTATATTAATTTGCTCGGCCCAACGTATTATGATAAACGACGTGACTGTCGTCGCCGTACACATATTCACCTCAGTGGAACTACCTACGAGTATTTACTTTTTTTTCTGGTGAAGTATATTTTGATTTTTTTCCATTCCTTCAGGTTAGGGTAATTTACGTGTGAAGATATCTTGCGAAGAATTATTACTATCTGTGGATCATGCGGTCTGTAGCCATGTCAGGATTACACATATGAATTCAGAGAGGTCTACAGATTTGCTTGTGAAACTTTGTCTCATGCCATCGTTTGTAGGGCAATGCCCTTGATTTGAGTGGAGCCTAGATTTCCACATCAGCAGATAGCATACACACAATTAGACAATGTGACGCGAAGCAGCAAAGATTTAGTTTAGTATGCTGTAAAAGAGAGGAACTGGAGTGGTAGTCGAGGTTTGAAAACAACGCAGAGTTGTCTGGAAAGCGCCCACAATCGTGTTGGACAATGTGACTAGAAAGCTACATTCGTCACAGTTTAGAGATTTGGTGGATTTCTAAAATACCAAATACGAAGTGCATTTTGGTGGATAAAACCTTGGAATAAGAACATTTGGGAAAAAAAGACAACCAGAACGTTGTTTGGACCCAAAGAGGACTAGCAGCCTACATACAAGTGGATGCCCATGTTGATTATTCGTAGATGTGTGTTTGTGTCTGGAAGTAAGGAAGGGAAGGAAGAGATGTCCGCATGCCGTGGTGTTCCTTCTGTCTGTGCCATGAGTTGACGGAGGAGAGGGTAACCCGTGTCTTTCATGTCTGTTTCTTTTGTGTCTGTGGTTTTTACAGGTAAGCATCTAGCCTCCTAGTGAGAGTGCTGCCCCCCGCCTCCTCCCCGCCCCGCCCCGCCCCCTTGCCATCATGTGGTGGGGATCCCAGTTCTACTATGCCCTGCTCGGCCTAGTGGCCGCTGCTGCCTTGCAGCTCGACTCTGCACATGCTTCAGGTGAGTGACATTTTCCTCTATTTTTCTAAACAACTTTTTCTCCCAAGTGCCCTATAGTGATTGCATAAGGATGGCTTGGACATTGGATGCGTGCAAATGAACAAAAAGGAAAAGTTGCTATAAAATCGGTGGTTGGATCTATGACTACCAGTATACTGAATGACACCAGCGTCTGTGCTGTACAGCTAGACTCTTGGCTGTCGCAGGCAAAGGATGTGGGTTAGATTCTAAAGTGGTCCAGGGTTTTTTTTACATTCTTATTATTGTTTCCAAAATCTCCATCTGTCTTATTGGATGTCGTATTCCACACTGCCCTGGTCGGCCCTGACAGCCCGCCTCTTACAAGATCAAATTGTATCGATGGGGTTGTAAAACACTTACAATTTCTGTGAGTTATCTTTTTTCTTCCAGATAACCTTTTTTTCAAATACCCTGCGATCAATCCACTACGATGGGTAGCTCAGTGCGTTGCCCTTTTCCATGACTCATTCAGTGATACGGGTCGAATCAGACAACAGACAAATAACGTTTCTGCGTTAATGTATTAATTCGCCATTTTCTGTTTGTCACTGAGTCATAGTTGACATTACATTCTGCAGTAGTAACACGACTATCTCCAGAACGTCGATCTTCTCGAGTTGATTTTGCGGGGAGAGAGGAAAAAAGGGCGGGGGAGGGTGTATAAGACTTTAAGTGAACCTGTTCTTTAGCTTTCACTCCTTCAAAGTTCAGCCATCCTTGTTGCTAGATTCGCTAGTTATTTTTTTATTTTCTGAGAGCACAACCAGTTAACCAATTAATTTTACTCTTACATACTTATTTCAGCTCTTAATTTATCCTTCTTCATAACTGAAGAGTTATCCATAGCTTGTGGCTTTCCAGGCAGCGTTAATTGTGTTGAAGAAAAACCTCAACGAAAAAAACAACTGTTGACATAACTCTAGTCTTCCTCGTATTGGAAAAGTAAAAGGCGTTGTTTATGCCTCAGATTGATTATTTGCTAATAATGTTTAAGCTATGAAGAACCTTAATTTAGGTTCACACGCACTTTGATTCTGCAAAAAAAGTTTTGTTGCTGTAGTTTTCCTAACCTAGTCATGTTTCGAAAGTTAGCGAGTAAAGGTGTGTAAGAAGTGAATGGGCCTGAATATCCTGTGACGAGAAAGGAAGTTACAGTAATGTGAATGACTAGATTAAGGGAAATTATTAAATTAGGTGGGTAGGAAAAAGCACTACGTTAAAAGGGTGGACTGGGTGTGTGTGTGTGTGTGTGTGTGTGTGTGTGTGTG